TATATATATATATATATACCTGTATGTATATATATATATGTATGTATGTATATATATATATATGTATGTATGTATGTATGTATGCATGTATGTATGCATGCATGCATGATTGTATGTATGTATGTATGTATGTATGTATATCTACGCTTGTTTCATGACTTGTTAGTATTGATCTTTAGATTTGTGCATTTATACCTGTCTACTTATACATACCCACACAAGCACATTAGTCACCTACACTTTTGTGGGCTGCTACACTCGAATATACCAAAAGGTCAGAGAACACAACAGAATGCACTAGAATGCTTGCGAGTACGCAGTAGGTAAGCCCTCTCCGTCCCTCTCACCTATGCGTTGAACTAACTGCTACAGCTTTCATAGGCCATGGGCTTGGCGCCTCGACACGCTCGTTCATCGGCCCCTTGGAAGCTTCCTCGTGCTCCATGTAACCACAGAGCCACGCATTGGCAATGGCGCAGTCCACGCCTCGGAGAAGACGAAGACTACTGGTCTCTGGAGTTTGTTCCACTAGTGGGGAAACCGATGGAAACCGGTAGGCGGAGCACAGTCTTTCGACGAGTCGACCTCGATCGCTGCGCGATGGGACCCACTCCCAGGGCACAAGGGAGCCAAGGGTGGAGCAAAAACGCACTCGGCTGCTCCTCGACTTAGTGCCTCGATCCCCACTGAGCCCGTGCCTGAGCATGCCATGACCATGACATTGACAGTGAAACGTGAGAGATCTATTGGACGAAAAAGGTGCCCTTTTTGTTGCATGGCCTGTGAAGAGGTCGAGGTGGCGCACAGAACGATCTTCAAAGAGATGCATGGCGGTGACCTTGGATCCGACGCACTATGTGTACCACGACGCCGAGGTTACCCTGCTGTGTCCGCACAAACATGGCCCGGACCTGGTTGAAGAGAGCCTCACGCACTCGCTCCATCGTCGGTCTCACAATGACCTCAGTTGGAGATCTCTCGTACCATGCGACGCCGTCAAGAAGGGATCCTCTTCGGGCGTCAGAGCTGGGTTCGTGGCACCAGCTGGCTGCTCCAGCCGCCGGCGCTTCGCCTGAAACATGTCCGCGAAAGCGCGCCCGCTCAAAACTGGAAAAAGGTGGGAGCTGGGGTCCCTGCCGTCCCGGTGCTGACACGCAGCCGGGAAGGAAAGGCCCAGTTCTTGTGCGCCAGCGGAGGGCCCTGCTTCAAGCGCCACTCCACCTCACGGGGTGCCCTCTGTGATCACTCTGCTGATCCCTTGTTGAAGGAGACTTGTCTTGGACAGCTCACAGAACCAGCAAACCACAAAAAACCACAGGAAACACACCGCCGGCCTTCTGCTTGGAGCGCTTGGAGCGGCCCCAGGCGTGGCCCGGACCTGGCGCGACATTGAACTCTGAGATGAGTTCGTCTGCGCTTGAGGCCGGGGGCGCCTCCACTCACGCTTTTCGTGGGCCTTGTCCTGCCGGGCTCTGTGGCATCGTGCGCGATATTCAGATTCATGTGATATTCATGTGAGTGCTGATACGATGCAACGCCTTGCCTGCTGATGCTTAGCCAGTGGTTGGGGACATCCACGTTGACCAGTTCGTTGGATCCAGGTGCCAGCGTGTCTAGCCTGAGACGCATTGAGACTCTGAGACGCCCACGGCAACGAACCCTGAGCTCCGCGCTGCGAGGATGCTGGGTCCGACAGCGTCGACCTTCTAGTTTTGAATCGCAGCAGTGTGCGATCATGCCAACCACCATCGGGTCACAGGGCTGAGCGCCACGCGTGGGATCTCTCGAACTACTGCTCCGGCTCCCACCACCACCTGGCGAAGTCGTCACGAAGGAAACGAATCTCCGAAAGGTCTAAGGCCGGAGCCTGGTTCGGGAGGCCGGTCCTCGTCCTCGGCCTCTGCTCCAATGCGAGCAACGGATTTCGTGACTTTTTGAGTCCGCCACCCCCCCGCCTCTGCTCGGCAGGCCACCCGGCAAAACCCTCTCCGCGGCGAGGCAAGGGCCCGCCTGTGTGGCAGAAACCAACTTTCCGAAAAATCTTCGAAAAGGGCCCCAAAGCAAGCGCCTGCTCAAGGCCAGCCCCAGCCCCAACCCCAGGCCGGTCAGGGCCTTGAGACGTGCTCTGCTCTCCACTGAAGCGGAACAGTTCCGACAGGCTCCGCACCATCGGAAGTGCCTTCCCACGATCCGACGCATGGCTGAAGCCTCTACGTCAGATGTATCACAGGTTTTCGGGTGCAGATGGTGTGTGCCCCTCATAGCTATTGCCTGCAGAAGCCACGCCATGCTGCGATGCAGTCGGCAGTGGCCACAGGATGGCTGGCGGCTGAGAATACAAAGCCATGCTTCCAGCCAAAGTGCAGGCTGCGGAGGTCCTCAAGACTTCATCCTATCGGCGGTGACGCGTTCAATCTGTCTGTGTTCACAGTGCACAAATGCGACTGCGACCTATCTGAGGTGCGGGGAGCCGGAGCCTGACGTAGTCGCCGTCAATCTCCTGAAGCTCGCCTGCCTTCTCCTGAAGTAACCCAAGAGAAGCAGAGGTCATGCAGTGTAGAAAGCGCAGACACCCCTTAGCACTCTTGCGATTGTTGAGTGTCTCTGGTCCTCTTGCTGTGTGGAAAGCAACCATTGCAGGTAGTAGTTCTTCAGGTGCATGAGCTGACAAGACGAAAAGCTTTCATACATCGCCTGATGAAAGCAGAGCTCGACACCTTGGGATGGTTCTTGCGCTCTGCAAGCTGTATGGACTCGTTGTACTTGTGCAGCTCCTCACAGCAAACAGATCAATGCTGAGCACCAGGTCGTGTCCTTTCAGGAGGTGCCTGGTACATGGCCAGTGCTTCATCGAGCTCGTTGTGATCCAACAAAATAGCTTCAGCGCGTTGGAACTGCTTCGCAAGCATGGCCATCTTCGCCTGGAGCAGAGGAGATCGCTCGACCTCAAGTGAGCCAAGAGCTTCAGTGCCTGGGCCATGTAGTAGTTGGAGCCATCACCACCAACCTCTGCTGCATGATCTTGAATCAGCCGGTTGACCTCACAAGCGACATTTAGTCAGAGTCACACACACACACAAACAGGTGAATCGCCTTGTGCAGGTACCGGCTCTTTGCTACGTCGCCCAAGACGGCATAGCAGCGTTCGGCTACCGGCAGGTTGAAGTGCTCCTCCGCAGACATCGGAGAGCATTATCCTCGTCGCACATGCTCATAAACTATTCCCGTCCATAGAGGCATCAGCCAGTGAGCGCCACATGGCTTCGGTCTCTGGTGTCAACGGGAGCTCCTGGCACCAGTGGACATGAAAACAGTGAACCCTCAGCACAGCTGTGACCAAGACGGGATCTGGCCTCCAAGAGGTCCACTGCCTTGAGCTTTAAACAAAAACAGCATGTCGTACTCAGTATGCAGGGGATCAGTGCCTGCCTTAGCGTATTGACCCCTTTCCAAACAGGAGCCGAAGGAGATCAAGCCCTCGTCCAGCTCGTACTCCACCTGCGAAGAACGTGTGCTTTGCACCAGACTGAAAAAGACCCTTGAGTGACTTGAGTGAACTCGCACGTACTCGTGTCTGAGGCACCATGTTAACGCCCTCATCCACGATCACGCAGGTTCGACCATTGGATCGCTCGATGTCTTCGATGTCGCCCTTGATCTCGTGCAGCGTTACGCGGTCGGGCGCATTGATGGAGTACCAGACACAGAGCTGTCCTTCGAGCATTCAGGGGCAGGAGGTCTCTCCCATCTCTGGGTCGTCAGGGGCAAGAACCCGCTCTCGACATAGCCCGCGGCCTCTGTTTTGAGCCACGACGACGTCGCTGTCGGGAACCCACTGCACGTAGTTGCAGTAGTTCAGGAGAGTCACCTCACAGCGCTTGACACCAAGGACTCATTCAGGGCTCACATAGACCGGGTTGACTCGGAGCAACATGACAACTCGAGGACGGCACCCGGCTCTGCTGCTCAATGTCAAAGAGGTAGAGCTGCCTCCGCTTGTCCCGGAAGATGAGGCCTCGGCTTTGAAGCCCCCCCCCCGGATGCCCCCCAAAACACCGCTCGGCTCTGCTCTGCTCTGCTCCGCTCGGCCACCGACGATTTGCCCCATTGGGGTTCAGCTCCTCGGCACGGGGAGTCGGTGAGGACTCTAAAAAGCTCCCTTTCCTCTTTTTCAGACGGAAAGTGTGGCGCCTCGCGTGCGTCGCTCTGGTGGATGGCTGATTCGACTGTCTGGTTTGATATGGCACTGCCAGGGAAAGCGGAAGGGTGAGGGGTTCACAAAACCCCGCTCGACACGTGCATTGCGTAGGGAAGAGCATAAAGGCCCGTCTTAATACATGTATTCTTTGGGGTTAGAGCCTGATTGGACTGCAGCGGCCTCTACACCGAAACCTGCGAAAAACTATGGACTGCAGAATCGGACCCTGATTGCTCGTGTTGTTCTAAGGTCGCTCACTGCCTCCACCGTGCGCGCGCTTGAGCACTACTCAGAACTAGCCGAGCAGACCGAGCAGTCAAACTTACATCCAAGAGAGGCATAAGGCGCAGGCTAGCCAGTCAATCCTCGTGTCGTGATGGATGTTCGCCAACGTTGCGTTCGAAACCTGACAACTTGGACATGTGTCGAGCGATTCATGCAACCTTGTAACCAGATCTGGAAGCAGGGAGCAGTACCTTGCAAGCATTCTGCGTGAGTGCTTGAACATGCCGGGACGGCCAGGTCACAAACACGGATTGTCATCAGGTCCAGCAAGTATGCAATGACCTGGCCCAACAAGCGCAGTCACTTCATGACAACTACTGACAGTTGTCTTGTACTTCACAATCTTCGTTGCAATCTGCACGTAAATTGCAGTGTACCGCAACAAGCCACAAACTGAAAAAACAACCAACGCCAAGTAAAAGAAATTGGCTAATTAGCCAACCACATCCGTCACCACCCGTCATGGACCGTACAGTCACAAACACAGCGGGGGTTAATTATATAAACAGCCTCCCTCGTAGCACGGCAGAATAGAAATTACTGCTAATTACTGCTGGTAGTGTTGAAACTCATGAAGTTAAGTTTGCTAACCATGCTAACAGTGGACAACATTGATTCCATTCTTGCTGTATCAGTGCAGAAGCACAAAGGTTGAAGGGCACACAGGCACAAATCCCAACACTAATTCTAAGTCCATGGAAAACCTTGAATCTAATCTCTGAGACTAAGACCTCAAGAAACAAACACCAAGACAACAACCTAAGAACCCTTATAACCCTAAACCCTTAATCCCCCAAACCCTAAACTCTTCTTCCTGGCCTGCAGAAACACTCCAGAGTATGGGCCCTTGACCCCTTCCCTCGAAACCCCAAACCATGAGCCCTGAAACCGCAGAAACCCCGCGCTCCAAAACCGCGAAAACCCTAAGCCGCTAAACCCTGACACAGCAAGAAAGCCGAAAGACCTGCTGAACACCGGGATTCACTTGCACTACTACGACAACGAATAGCAGCAGTATGAGCTCTAGAGGAGTGAAGTTTGGGGTTTTTGGGCTCTGATTTGAAAAAAAGCACTTGCATTGCCAAGGCCATTGTCATCAACTGCTTTACAAGCAACCAGTACACCTGGTATTTGTTGTGTTCTGGCCGTTGGTAAGACTATGTTGCCAAACCTAACGAGGTCCTGCACAGTGTCGACGACGCCTCAACCAAATCGCTGATCAATAGTCGAAGTATAAGCTTACTGGGCTGATATCTATGAAATTATGACCGGTACGCATCGATGTGACCAATACATCTTTATCGCTACTGTCGTTGCTAGCACTTCCGTCTAATCGTTGCATTGAAGAATGAAACCTTGAATCTAGGGTTATTATGGCGCCGAGGGAGATATTACCAATTATTGCATCCACACCTCTCGGGCGAAGATCATGATGATAATGATGATTGGCGACGACGATTACAATGAAAGTGATGCTGACAACTGCAGCGGCGATGACGATGACGATACGCTGACAAAGGCGATCACGACCCGGATGCTTAAGGCTTAGTGATGTGATGAAGACGATGCTGATAGCGCTGATGATAGTGGTCATGTTGATGCAAATGACGTTGGTGACGAGCTTGGAACAGACAGTGATGATACCGAGTCATGGCTATGCTATGCTTGTCTTGCATTGGCTTCAAGTTTGCATTCAATCTGCTGTCCTGCGATAGAACAAAACCTAGTTTGAGTCTCTGATCAAGTTGGACCCAAAACACCCGGCCTTCAGCTCACCCATAGCAGGGGCGTATGCATCACCCTCTTCCGGGGCGTTGATCCGAACGCCTGATTCCGTTCTGATACTCAAGCACTTCGAGTACAGCCGCGTGTTACAGGCAGTTCCAACCCACAAAGAGTCTGCTCAATAAAGCTACTGCAGGTCATGGAGCTTGGCAAAGTGGATAAAGAATACACTACACTTCGGTTTAGTATGGTTACATATCTAGAAAGATGTACATACATACATACATACATACATACATACATACATACATATATATATATATGCATGCTCTTGTACCAAGATCTGCAAATAGAATTTTCTTCAGTGTATGTACATCTGTGTATGTATATACATATGTATATGATACGTGCATAAATGTATGTGTATATATATATACCATAAACGGAAACATATATACACACGTCTCAGGATAAGCATCAGAATATACACATAATACATACACACATACGTGCACACGTGCGTAGCTCCACCCATCCATCCATCCATCCATCCACCCATCCATACATACATACGTACATACACGTACCACTATGCCATGCAGACTGTTTGAAGGGGGGTTAGCTGAGCTCTCGTAGCTAAGGGCCGGGCTGATGAGGTGCGGAGACATGAACTCTGTCCGGGCCTTGATGCGAGACAGCGCACTCCTCAAACGTTGCCATTCAATTTCCTCGCAAAGGGTCCCGACACAGGCCAGCAGCTCGTTGCAGCCGTACTCAACGACAGATAGCTCGCCGGCCTTCCACAAAACTCATCCCAGGCACTCCCACACCTATGTTTAGCATCCCATGGTTGTCAAGCCGCGTTAAGCATCCGCCTTGAAAATCATACAGACGGTCGGGTTATCAAAAACGAATTTCTCATTGCCTCGCAAAAGCAGTCACTTTTGCAGAACCTCAACAACCCGCAGAACTGAGCTGCAAGCCGCTAGAGTGCCAGGGAATCTCGGACAGCCGGCCTGTGGGGAAGCGCGGCCCGCTCGGCGAGGCTCAACATCGAGAACCCAAGGGCCGGACAGGTCTGCAGGTCCCCGAGCAAGATGCTCTCCGGCGTGTGTGCCACCAGGAAGCGCTCCTGAGTCATAGGCCAGTCACCCCGAAAGGAATTCAAATAACGGCTCTGGGCTCTGGCCTGGAAAATGTTGATCTTCTTGATCTCGAATCCGACGTTGCTCTTGAGCACAATGCGAGCCCCGGAGCGCAGGCTCTTGACGATGACCTGACTCAGGGAGACGTACGTGAACTCGTGCGAGTCGCGATAACCTGAGCATGGCATGCTGTGAATTCCATGCAAGCCTTACCATCCACTTTCATTCTCGCGGAACACAGGCTTGGCTTGAGTTTCGGACGAGATCGCCGAATACACACGTCGAACATGTCCACGCCGCCACAAAGAGAGCCAACGATGAGCCTAGACCCGTCTGCCCGCCAAGAAAGAGCAGTGACTGAGTAGAGGTTCGGCACCTGCAGGCAATAGATCGAGAAGCTGCTGCCTGCGACAAACTGCCTGCGGCCTCTCGCTGTACAACTTCCGCCCATTCGCTCCTCTTCGGGTGCCAGGCAAAGACCTGTCACAGAATGGAGATGTGCGCTTCTGAGAAAAGTTGAAGTCAGAGAGCTCGGCTAGAAAGCGATTGTAGTTTCCCAGCACCACGGACTCTCCGGATGGATTGAAGGCTGCGACTGTAAACTCCTGGGCACGGGACTCCACGGGATCCAGTCCGAGCCCCGAGACAAAGCGGCGGCGGGTCCTTGATCTTCGGATCGCCGCTGTAGTCGAAGGTCTGCCCTTCTCGTCCCTGGCGCCGCTTTCCCACTTGGGCCCCCTTGGGCTTCGGCTTCTTAGGCTTCCCTTTTTGCGGCCTCCGAGTCCCAGAAGCGCACCATGCGGTCGTTCCCCGCGGCGCAGATGCCGGCGTAGCCCCAGGAGAGGGCGTAGGGCACGCACTGGCGAGCAGTGACACAAGCTCGGCCATGCCAGGCCGCTAGGCTGGCACAGGCCGCCGGAGCTGTGAAGAAGTTGCTTTCTGGCATGATGCTCAAACCCCAAGCCTGAGGCACCATGGCAAACTTCGTGGTGGTAGGCCGAGGAACCTTGGGATTGGCTCGGACGGAAAGTGCGGGAGACGCGGGGCAGGGCCGTGCAAAGGGACTTGGCCGGCGACCGTCTCCGTCTCGAAGTGGAAACGGTAGATGGAACCATCCAGGTGACCGCTGAGAATGGAGTTTCCATCCGGACCTCAGGGCAAAGGTAGCATCGAGCGAGCCCCTGCATCTTCCACCAAAGTAAGACGGCCACCGGCACACATCGAGACTACGAAAGAATCGGTCGAGTAGAGAGTTGCAGCCTGTGGCGTTGGCTGGCGACCAGATCCCACAAAACGACCGAGGCTCCCTCGGCCCTCGGCCTTATTGGACTTCAGCTGGCCGACTTTCACCTTGCCTTCGGCAAGACCGAACACCACCTGCGGGGCAGATTTCCCGACTCGTCCGTCCCCTTCTCGGTCGGATTTCGAAAAACTTGCCTCGTTTGGATGTCCAGCAGGCCAGGTGAGGCACGTGACACTCGAGGACTGCTGGAATTTGTTGCAGATGGACTTCTTGTCCTGCGAGAACCAACGTGCTGCCTCTTATCATGCTGCAACGCTGCTGCGACGTGCTCGTCGCAAGCAGACACGCAAAGGACCAAAGAGTCAGTAGTAGCAGATCCGGCCTTCCAGTCGCTTCCAAGCTTGTACACGAACCTCAGCGCAACACTCTCCGTCCGCGAGAGCAGCAAATGCATCGCAGGATCTGTCGGGCACGTGAGGTGTGCGAAAGAAGGCAATTGGCAACGACAGCGGATCACAGGCTAAGATAAAGAAGCCGCATCACAACTCCGGGGTAGCATCCTTTGGTGTGAGGAGTCTAAACCTAGTGTCCCTCCAAGCATTCTTCAGCCGCTTGTGGCTACAACGTCATCAAGCAACCTGCTTGGCTTCATTATCAAGCGCCCGCAATGGCCGGTTTCCCAAGCAGCGGAGTCTCAGCTCGGGGCACGATGTTGTCACTCTGCGCCACGGCCAGCTTAGTGCCGTCTGGGGAAAATTCGATGGTCCGCACCGCATACATTCTCGCAGCCTGTCACAGCCGATTAGTGCCGCTGCGACGCCGAAGCGGCCGGACTCGTCAATGCAATTCTCTCACGAAGCCTTGTCAGCCGGCTTTGTGCTGAACCTATCCTGCTTTTCACCATGCTCGTCAAAGAGCTGAACCTCGACTCTAGCACGCGTGGACACGACAGCAACTGACAGGAACTCCAAGCACATAGAAGGCAAGGTGCAATTTTGTCTGCTCCGACTGTGGCTAGCCTATCACAGGTTGCAGAGGCGTCGTTCCACCAAAAAGCCATCACCCTCTACGAATTGAAATGGCTCCTGGTTGTGTTGCTGCTCCAGGAAATGGATGTCACCTCCAGGGCTGACACCAACTTCTGTTTGACACACGTTCGGCGTCGCTCCGGTTCTCACACCTTGTCGTGAGGACAAGGATTGTGGAAGGAAAACCCTTGCTGCGAGCCTTGGACATGCCATCCACAGGCGCGTTGAGATTTTTGAGATATCTGGCCAGGTGCAAACCAGCCCAGCTGAACCAACCCAAGGCAGGATGCGACTAACCAAAACCGGTTGCTCTTGACGTGACCAACCCAGCCCTGAACCAACTAAGTTCTCAACTACCAAAACTGCATAAAATTGCCGCATCTTCAGATCAGACTTCGACAAACAGCATTGCCTCAGCTGCATGGCTGCAAGGCCGCCCTCCTTCACATGCGGGAGCCAGCAACAAAGCTGGGTACTGGTTTGCGTTCAGCCGCCAAGAGGCCAGTAGGGCCAGTAGGGTTCACTCCGATACATCAAGTTTGTATGACCGTTCGCGAGACAAACCGGGTTGTCGAGTCAGCTGGGGGTCACGGCAACCACGACTTCACAGCTGCTTCCCGGAGGAGTCCCACGAACTACATGTAAGAAAAACTGAAAAACACTACCGAGGCAAACAAATGCGAACCCCCTCACAAGACCCTTTCTCAAATGGAGCAATTTAAAGTATAAAGGTGGCTTAAACACGTGTGAACCATCAACCTCCTTCCTGAAGCCGCCAGCCTGGGCGGAGGGCGCGAGAGGCGCCCAGCCGGCTCGGGTCAGAAGCGCTGGTAGGGAGCAGAACACGGCCCAGATATGCAAACGTGTAGGTCGCAGTCGCACGTACGTAAGAATATGCATCCATAACCCTATTATCTGCGTGTGTGAACATGTGTACCTATGTATGTGTGCATGCACATATGTATGTGTATGTATATGTGTATGATACAACATAACATAATGCAACCTAATATAGTAAAGGAAAATACAATAAACTGTTTAATAAACTATAATGTAGTATGAGATAATATAGTGTGATATGATTCAATATCATATTATTTATTATTCTATAATATTGCATTATAATAATTTGCTGTAATACCAAACAAAAGAGTATAATCGAATATAACAAAATAAGCTGATTAGGAAAAAACTAGACTTCGACGTGGGTTTTGATATGTTCGCATAATCTCAGCAAGCAGCTGAAAAAAAAGAGTTGCAAGATGGCAACTTTCCTGCCAATCGAGGTAAGCAATTTAAACAGAACCGATCTGGGCAGTGAAATGAAGATTGTTTCGAAAGATTGGCAAGTTCCGTGGCAACCGGTTCCAGAGCGCCTAAACGCACAAATTCCAGGCAGTCCGCCAGTAAAAAGCCGGGTGTATTCCAGTTATGCGAGAAAAGCGACGTAGAAAGACTTTTCATGGTTTGGCACCAATCGTCCGTTCGTAGATGGCCGCATCCTGCTTGATGCCGTGGATGCAGAGGATCGACGGCATGTCAAATTCTTATGGACAACAAGAGTTGCTTCAGTGCAGCACTACTCCACTCTAACGCAGACCACAGAAGCATCTTCTCTTGAAAAAATCGTGATGGTGGTTCAAGGTCGTCTATGAGCAGTAAAGAAGCTACTTGGGTTGGATTTCCTTTTTTAAGAGTTTTTGGGGCATGCTTCTACATGAGTCGTGAAGCACGTCCAGTAAAAACAAAAAAGTTCGAAATCCGATCCAATTTTGCTCTGCTTTCACGCAACTTAGCTTCTCCACTTTCAAGTTTCTGACACGTTTTCGTCTGGCTTCTTCTTCTTGTATGTTGAGGTTCAAATTCAACTCTAAGCTGCAGATCCCAGAGCTAGCACATTCTTTGCGGAACAGCCAGAAAAAACAGCAAACAAACAAACGAACATACAAGATGAGAATGATCAAAATCGCTTTAGGGAATGGTATGAGCCTACACACTTACAAGAAGACACGTTGCCTTTCCACATTTTGGAAAATCAAATTGAACCTTTCAAGTGCCAATCAATTTTTTGAAGATTTTGCTTTTCTCTAACAAGAAATGTCTGTGGCAGGTTTTTACGGACACTACTGTTAGCGTTTATTTCCTCTTCCATCCCTAGTCACCAGACCCAGTTTCTTGATTCGAAACAGAACATCTTCTCCAGCATGCATAAGATCGTAATCGGCTTCAAGGGTCTTCCAGCATTGACACTTTCCATTATTTCCAAAAAACGGCGTTCCATTTTTGATTTTGGAAGGCGGAGTACTGATCTTCATTTGCATTTTGAGGGAACGCGGATCAAAAGAGCAGTGCCAGATGCATTCAGATCACCTTTCTGATTGAAATGTCGCATCCATTCATGTTCGCTCAATGCAGTCGAAAAGAGCAGCACTAGTTCTTGCAGCTTGCAGCAACCGCACGATTCCAATTGTTTTTGTTTCTTGTTGTTCCTCTGATTAACAGCTTCTACTTGTTTTCTACCGTTTTGTTGCAAATTTGGGATTAAGAAAAATTACTGAAGAGAAGGCTAAATTGCGTGAAAACCAGAGTCAACACATCGGATCCGCATTTCGAACGCTTTTTTAAGGTCTTTCAGCATGGAACACTTTCCACAGGTTCAAAAACAAGTTCCATTTTCGTGCAAAGTACTTTTACTTGCTTTTGGAATATGAAATCTGGATGCAGATCAAACAGATAACTTGTATGATTTCTTGTGGCATCCAGTCATACACTCAACTGCAGCACGTAGAGTAGTTCCACTTCGCTACATGTACGCACTGGTTCTTGCATTTTGCAGCAACTGTGACACTCTTTGTGCAAGAGCACATTTTCTGTAAGTTTTTTCGGGTTTGTTACAAACCTGTGAAACCGTCAAAATCTGCAAGTCACTCCATCCAGACGATTTTGATAGAAGTTGCATTTTGATTACAGTTGTTGTCAAAATCATTTAGACACAATGAATGACGCTATTTCAGGCATACTTGGTGCTCTCGGCTAAAAGAGGGTGCCAGAGCACGGTATGGCGAAGCGTGACGCTGCAGGATGTCCGTCAAAATCCGTGGCCTGTCTCCGCGCATGGATACTAAATTCGGTTGCAAAATGAAGTACTGTGTGCCGACAAAGTCTTCATATTGTGTGAGATGTGTGTTTGCATCTTTAGATTCCAGAGTGTTCTGGCTTCTGTTTTTGTCAACTTCAATTGCTGCGCTTTCGAAAAAGACCGAACGACAGTCCGGAGTTCAACAAAACCCTTGGCAAAGCACGGCTGCTCACAACGCTCGGACAGAGCCTTCGTTTTACTCACACGACACGCAAGGCCGGTCTTGAGCCAAAGTAAGGCACAACGTCTTGCAGCTGCTAGGAATGAAAACGACT